TTGATTTCATTATCTCTTATGAATGATGCAAACTCTTTATTTTTGAACAGATTTACCCTTAATCTATATTAACATTAAAAAACTCTTAGCTTTGCTGAATGTATTAAGGATTAATGTATTAAGTGATCAAAATGTCAAACCTTTCTCCAAGGCCAATCACATGCGCCATAGTCAAACGTTATTTCCTCTCCAAAGAAAGTATCCCTGATTGCAAAAAGGCACAAATGAGGTTTTCTCTGAACAACGATCTTATTGACAGTGCAGTTAGGGTGCAGATGGTCATCATTCACCAGCCGGCCGAGGGTCTCGTCCTCATGATCGGCATCAATGCTGCAAAACTAAGAGAAAAGAGCAAGCAACATTTTAATTATGCCCTCTCATAGCAATGAAAAGCTAACTATGGCATGAATACAAACACAATGAATATAATATATACATGTACATTTGAATGGGGAAAACACTTAACCACCTGTTCTTGTTTTACCATATAAAGTCAAACATAAAGACAGTATTTTTATTAATATCTCATCTATGCTTTGCTTCCACAAGCTCTATCATTTGTACTCAACCACAAAACTTCCTTTAATAAATGTGGACAACGCAAACTCTGACCTAAAAGATTTAATGAAACGTGTAGGGTTCAAAAACTACAAAAACCTCACATTAGCATCCTCTCTGTGTGTGAATTATAAATACAGTAAACCTTTTGAAGTGGATCAGAACCTTTCCTCAATGTTGTTCTAATACTATTGAACACCTGTTCTTCTTTCTTAGGACAGTTTTAAAGAACTTTTTTTCCACTTCAATTGTTTACAGGTCACACTTTACAATCAGGTTTTATTAGTTAATGTACTTACTAACATGACCTAGTAATGAACAATGCATGTACAGCATTTAATCAGGATTAATCATAGTTTAACATTTACTAATGCATTATTCAAATCTAAATTCATGCTTGTACCAGTAATAATGCATTGTGCGTGTTTAACTAGTAATGAACAACTTTATTTTCATTAACTAAAGTTAAACAACATGAACAAATACTGTAATAAAGTATTATTTATTGTTCATGTTAGTAAATGCATTAACCATCATTAACTAATTTAACCTTATTGTAAAAGGCTACCAGTTGACAGCAAATAAATAAATAAAACACACACAGTGAACATTTATGTACTTTTATATATGTTTTACACTAAGTTGGAGTTTATTATAATTATTTATCTAAAATAAAACGTTTCTACACGTCATAGAACAATAAATTAAGTATATTTCTAGGACCAGATGGCCCCACATTTTAATTATAACCTCTATATTACTACATTAACGTATAAATAGTATATAATAGTGTTATTTCAGGATTAACGTTAAATGTTTAAAGCAATTAACCATTTAAAAAGTATGATACAAGAACTATGAAAACATACCTTAGTAACCTTCTATATATTCGGTTTCCAGTGAATGGGTCTTGTCGGTGGAGCTGGTGATGTGTTTCTCCGCATCTTTTAATGGTTTTATCCTCCGTCGATCCATTTAGCCGCACGGTGATTGGTGACTGTCTGACCGCGGCTCATGCACTCCACCCCGGCCTCTGACTCACGTAGCACCGGGCAGTTAGCACGTTAGCACATTAGCGCGAGTAACTTTTACTCGTGTAAACAAGTTAAATTACATACCGAACTGTAGTTTGTGTCTTATCAGTGTTATATTAATACGTAATTTGAAACAACATCGATTAAAACACCCAGGAAATTCGTTAAAACATTTAATTAACTATACCTGATAACTGTCAAAATATGCAACATAAGTATTTGTCATAAAACCGATTTCATTACATTATGATGGTGAAAAACATTATAACTTACCCGAAAATTCGATTAATTTGATGATAGATCTTAATTAAGTTGATTAAAGTCGGATTCATTTATGAGATCTGCGCATGTGCAGTAGCCAGAGTGTGTAAGTGTGTGTCAGGGTGCAGTACCGCCATCCGACTACAGGACCGCTATAGAGCAGTGCGCCGACACACACTTACACACTCAATTCAGGTAAATGGTCAAGGTGGGGATCAGTGAAAAAAACTGCACTAGGCATATCAGCAACGCCCCCTGAGTCTTTTAAAGGCAAAACATAGTGGGGACCGGGCGATCGGTCCCCACTATGTTTTTGGTCCCCACTTTGTGAGTGTGCTATCATGCTGAGGTCCCCACCATGTAATAAAAACAAACACACACACACACACCACACACACACACACACACACACACACACACACACACACACACACACACACACACTTAAACACTCTTTTTTTGCTAGGCTGAATTTAGAGTAGGTTTTTCCAGACTGGTTTTAGCTGCCTGTCATTCCAACTGGCCTAGGCTAGTTTAAGAAATTTCTTTTTTCATTACATTAAGCTTACAATGTTCTAATGATTTGGTCAAGGGCATGAAATGGCCTGAGATATTTACTGTAAAGGCTCAATCAAACCAACAAAACCTAAGCAAAACAAACCACCTTGCTGCAAACAAAAACACGCCTTAACCCGGTCTAGACTCATTTGGATTGGATAAATAATAAAATAGTCAATATGAAGTCACTTTTTAACATGGGTTCCATGGATACCAGTAAGTTAGAAGAAGTTTTTGGAAATTCAACTATTACAAAACAAAAAAAAAAAAAAAAAAAAAAATTGCATACTGGAAGACAACAATTATGACTTGGTTTTCAAAACGAAAATCTTTAAAAACAAGCCAAGTTAAGCTATTAATACCAGTCCGTTTTCTAGTTTGTTTCGGGACATATTTAAAACATTGAAAGCAACAGAGATGCCATAAGCCCATTCCCTTTAAAATACCCATTGAACATTTTAGTAGTTTTTGTTTTCGGCAGGTAGATGTTACAGAAAAGTATACCCTGCAGTTTTATCTAATTTTACATTAACCTTTTTAGTGTATCTCTAACAAGTTAATTGATTAGCTTTTCTTACCTTGCGTGATAAACTCTGTGCATCAATTTTTACGCCATGGGGTATATGCCGAAGCATGCTAATAGGACTTTTAATTTGCCAGTAACCTTGGTTCAGCGCTTCCGGTGAACTGTTTGCAATTGCAAAAATGGCGCGTTTAAGGTCTGTTTTCTTTAAAAGTCCGCGATCTCCACTGGCTGAGTGATATCCGATATAAAGTGGGTCTCAGATTGTACAAGAAGCACGGCATTAAATAACATTTTCCCCCGCCATGTCTTTAAAATATGAGCATTTATTTTACCCCAATATATTCAATGAAGCTTCTGCTCTAGTCTGCCGATTCTGATAGGCACATGCGAGTCAACGGCTTTTTTTCTCGATTCGTAAATGAATGCCAGAGTCTGTTTAACTGATTGTATTTTAACTACATTACAACATCAATGCTGTAAAAGGATTAGTTTAAAATGGAAAAAAACTAACAATAACAGATAACCGGAAGTTTCTCAGCATGGAAACACCACTAGCTCGGCATATACCCTATTGTACTTGGCACACAATATACTGTAGCAGCATCACATGCCTTTAGGCGCACAAATGATAGTTATGTTGAATAGTCAAATGAATATTCCATAGTCGAAAGAACAAAGACGATTGAGATCACAGAAATCGTAAGCTGGAAAAATACTTTGTGTGTGAAATAATATTTTCTGATATACAAAATATCTATCTATCTATGCTGGTTGGCTGTTTTTTTTTTATTATTCTGGTCTAGAAAGCTGGTTTAAGAGTTGGTTTGGTCACTACCAGGCTGGTTTTAGCTGCTGGTCTTTCCAACTGGTCTCCCAGCCTGGCCAGCTAAAACCTAGGCTGGTTTAAGTTTTTTTCAGCAGGGACATCAAGCTTATAAAGTTCTTTAATGATTTGGTAGGGGGCATGAAATGGCCTGAGATATTTACTCTGAAGACTCAATCAAACCAACAAAATCTGAGCAAAACAAACGTTCAGTTTGTTGCTACAAACAAAAACACGCCTTAACCATTAACCATGTCTGCACTCATTTGGATTGGATTAATAATAAAAAAGTTTTATGAGGTCACTTTTTTTAAAGTGAGTTTAATGAATACCAGAAAGTTAGAAGTGTTTGGAAATTCAACCATTTAACAAAACAAACAAAAAAAAAATAAAAAATAGCCCTGCTGAAAAATGAAAACAACATCTAAGACGACGACGGTCGCATAGTATGTTATTGGTTTCCAAAACAAAAATCAGTAAAAACAAACAACATTTTAGCCATAAAAATCAGTCCGTTTTTTAGTTTGGGACATATTTTGGACACAGAAAGCAACAGAGACGCCATGAGCCAATTCCTTTCAAATTTTTCATTAACGTTAAACCCATTAAATTCTGAATGTTTCAGAAGTTTTTGTTTTCGGCCAGGAGATTTGAGAAAGTATGCTATAAGGGCAGCATTTTTATATCATTTTGCATGAACCTCTTATCAGTTTATTGCTAACAAGTATCTTTTACGAGTAAATATATTAGCATTTCTTACCTCCTCCACGCGCGATAAACTTTGTGCATCAGTTTCGCGCCATTGTATTTTTGCTGCAGAAGCCAGCTGCATCACGTGCCTTTAGGTGCACAAATGGTAGGCGAATGAAGTATCAGGTCACAAAAATCGTAAGCTGTGTGTGAAAATATTTTGTGGTCTATATATCTATCTATAGACAGTAATAATTCTGATAATATATACATTTTACTAAAAATATTTGTTGTTGGCCAATAAATGTGCCATAAGTAAATTTTTATTATAGCAGTGACTCTAATTTTACTGTTTAAATGGAGTAATCAATACTTCTTTAATTTCCAGCTATTATTGTTTTAGTTTGTAATGTAAAGTGTAATATTGTCATAGGATTATATCCTTTTTTGCACATAATGGATGCGTGGTAACAAAGAGTGTTACATATTTGTTTTCTTATCCTTTGATATGAACAACCTATCTTATCTAAACACAATAAATACAGACAAATACTGTTAATTCATATATTTTATTATTATGCTTTATACATTTGCATATTAAAACAAAATAAATGTACACACTATATTTACTTTGCATATTTGTGCAGTTATAGAGAAAACCAACAGTAAAGTTGTATACAACATATACCAATAATTAAATACTGTAATAGACAACTTAGAAAACACATTAGGTGTATTATTCATACAACTCTAAATTATACTGACCAGTGTTCTCTGAGGCACTGTCACTGGAGTTAAAAATCTACATTATTTATGACAGACAATTATGTACACATATGCAAAGAAGGTGACTCTTTAAAACCGAAAACATTAGTGGTATCTGATCTTTGGTAACAACTTGTAGCAACTCAAAGAATAACTTGATTTTCTGAAATTTTTAAGCAGTGAGAAAAATAAATCTTTGAAATGAGAAAATAAAATAGCTTCTATGATGTAAAAGTAGCAATGGTGATGTCACAGAAAGAGCACATCCATAAAAAGGAGAGAATCGTAAACGTTAAGCACTACAGAACACCATCGTTTTATTTGCTGAAATATGTTCAATGTGTTTCAGATGTTAAGCTTGAACTCCTAAAAACTGAATAAAGGAGAAAATAGATCAGTGAAACATCACATTTTTCATATTTTAAATTTCATTACTTTCATCAAATTTAATAGAGAAAAAAAACGGAAAAACAAACTAAAATAAGAAAAAACATCAGGCAGATGTTTTTGAGCATGGGCTACATGTGGTGAGGTGAAAAATGTGACGGTATATACACAACACGTGTTTTCTGTGTGTTTGTGTGAATGTTGGTTCACCGGTGCATGGTGAGAGCAGCTGAAGTTCTTTACATTTGTCTCAGTGCAATTTAACCCAATCTTTAAATCACCAAATGATCTTTTCTTTAAAGGCAGTTTGTACAGCAATCATAGATTCATTTTATACCTTATAATTAAACTTAACATCTATTTACATGGCAGAAAGTCCAATGAGTGTCCCTACATATGTACATAGAGATTCTATACACAAACATATACAGTGTCAGACTAGCTGTGTACATCTAGCATCAAACAGCAGTTGTTTACCTAATTGTAAAACATAGTTAATTACACTTCTAAAGTTTGCAAGGAAATTAAAATACTTGCATATTCAAGTTAAATCTGTGCTTGCTGGAGCTTTCAGCAGCCCCTCTAGGCTAGTTTGCATCATTGAACAAACCACATGCTGTGAGCATGTCCCGTTTACTGGTCTAAGTGGGCGAATACGCTCTGCTGATTTATTACTATCCTTTCACAGAAACAGAAAAAAGGAAGTAGCTGTTGAAAAATGAGCAAGTAACACTTTTTACCCTGCAGGTCAGTGTAGTTAAGAGTCTAATAATAAGCTATCCTCATTCTCACTGGGAGGCAGCATGAGCTGCTGTTCATAGTAAAGGCTCTTGGCATAATTGATTTCTTGCGAAATCTTGATGGCAAGGCTCTCGCTTTTCACATGGACCTGTAGAGAAACAACAAATAGCATTTGAAGTTGTTGGAGATTTTGAATAATATTAGTCTTTAATTGCTGCTGATTATGATTGGCAGGTATAAATCAACCCCAAATATTTTTATTACAGCATTTAAACCACGTGACAAAAGTCTTGTCGCCTATCCATGTTTTATAAACAACAAATATGAAATTGATTTCTAGTTGATCATTTGGTATCAAAAGTGGCTTATATGAAAGGCAAAAGCCTGTAGATTATGATTATTTTACCAAAATAAAATATGATCATGCCTTGACTTTGAATTATTTAATCAGGACAGTAAGGTCTTACTTTGCTTAGACAAAAGTTTTATCACTTAACAGTGCACAGAACAGAATATAAAGTCATGGTGCAGTGGGAAAACAATTGATATTGTGTATGACTGCATCCATACATCAATTCAATGACTCAAATAACGTATTAATAAAGTCATCTGGAATGTCAAAGAAAGCATTCTTGCAGGACTCCCAGAGTTCATCAAGATTTTTTGGATTCATCTTTAATGCCTCCTCCATCATTTTACCCCAGACATGCTCAATAATAATCAGGTTGTTGATTTTGCCATCCACTCTGCAGGTCTCTCGCATGTTCCTCTACTGAATGTAACCCCAAATCATGATTTTTTCCTTCACCAAACTTGACTGATTTCTGTGAGAATCTAGGGTCCATGCGGGTTCCAATAGGTCTTTTGCAGTTTTTGACTGATGACTCATTGGAAAAATCTACCGTCTGCCACTTGTCTAAATGATCAACTAGAAGTCAAGTTATTATTTTGTGCTCTTACAACTAGCATCGACCTCAAGACTTTTGTCAGGAAGTGTAGTAATATACAGTATATTTTGCAGTTATATATTACAAAGTTTTTAATTTAGGTTTTAAGGTGATTAGAATAAGTAAGTTTAATGATACTGATGATAAGAAGAGTAAATAAATAGTTTAGCATTATAGCTAATTAACTTGACATATCTTACCATTGGTTTCTGATGAGATGGACCTGGAATGGCCACCCCACTACTGGTGCTTTCTGCTTTCTTAGTAAGTTGCACATATACTTTCCCGTGATCCTTGGACACCAGACAATGATAGAGATCATCATATTTGACCTCCAAAAAGATTGCTTCTCGATCCGCAAATTCTCCAGGCTTGAGAAAATACACCACTTTGGAGGAGATCAGCACACAGTAGGTGTCTATGGGCTCCACTGCAATAAAACTACAAAAGAAACAAACATACAATAGGTACATCATTGCTTTAAAGAGACAGAACAAACAATATGCCCTTACAAAACCTGGGTTAATTCAATTTAAACTGCACAATGGCACAGCAGATGTACAAGGATTCATATCGAAGCAAATTCGCCGCAGGAATCCAATGAAAATCTGTAAAGATATGAATTCTGCAATAAATGAAAAGGGATTAAGTCGAGCGTGCCATTTAATGCACAAACTGTGTTTAGAGAAGAGAAGATTAGTGCATCAAATTAAACAGAAAACATTTGGGCGGTTCAAGTGTGTCAGACACCACAGGAGGTAAGCGTGCAGGCTGCAGCTGAAGAGACTAATGGCCTGTGCGGCACCTCTGAGGAGAGAGGTCAGGTGGGCCAACAGGGGGTCTGCTGATCTGGATGGATTAGCCTCGTTGGTGATAAACGCCTTTTCAGTCTCACTTTGAATAGAGAAACAAGCCCTGATGCTTCCAATCGTAGGAGATTTTTTGTAGTGTACAGTTATAGGAACTAGCGACTAGGCTAGTTCTCTGAGAACTAAACTTGCCCTTTGGCAATTTTTCTGGTTGATTGTGCATGGTCACTGTTAGACCCTACTTTGAACGAGGAGCTAATTTAGTCCTGCCAAAAGGTGGTCATAAAACTAAAGTTGTTTCCACTTCCTTTCGTTCAATGATGTCAACAAGTGGGTACAATAGTTCTAAGAACTATGAAGACAAAGGGATTCAAAAGGCTCTTCAAGTCTCAACCCCACAAAACAAGTAAAAAATAGAGTTTTTACAGAACAACTTATCCTGACTTTACCATCAGACCGTGTACTTACTATTCAGAGTGGATATTGTCAGTTAAGTGAAAGAGCTGTTCTTGTCCATCTGCTTGTAGGGAGGAGAATCGAGGCAGCAGCCCCTGAGGGCCCTTACAGCAGCGCGGCTTCCTTACTCGCTGTACACTTAGCCTGAAACGCACACACAAAACACACAAGGATCATTACTTACAAAACCAACAGCCTTAAGAGGGTTAACACTGGGGAATCCAAGTTGGAATGAAGCACCTTTTTACTGGAAAGGCTGAACCTTTTTTCTCTTTTCTCCCCATTTCCCGTAAAGAGTACAACTGAGTCTCTTGAAATAACACCTGTTGTGGCATAATCCAAAAACCCCACAAACTCAGACTCCTGCTATGCTTTTTAAGGTGATATCCTGCCAACATATCATCTTATTCAACTCTGATTCACATTTAAGCACAATGGGTTGGTTTAAGGTTCAATCAATGGTCAGGGGCATCATAGCTCCAGTGTTCTGGTGGTCCTGGCCAAAGCTGAAAGTCCTAACCAGAAGCCGACGATGCCAATGCAAAGCTTGGGTCTCGCTTCTTCTCCAAACAACCCTTCACGTCTCTTTGGCTGCCACTGGTGGGCCAAATGGAATTCCTACATCTGGCTTGAATCTGGTCCAGCAGGCTTTTGATTAGAGCTGATGGCTTCCAGTTGATTCACAAAGACTGTAGTGTACTGCATTTCTGTGTTCTGTTTAAAATGAAGCCCGAATGAATACAGCTGCCTCTGTTCATCAAGAGCTCAAAATGCAAGGCGCTGTGGAAAAGAAGAACCAAAGATAGGCACACCTGAAGTCCCAAAGTGGGACTTAATGGCAACACCTTTTGCTTTTCAAATCAAGCCAATACTACTGAAAATCCAAGCAATGTCATGCAAAGACAAACAGCAGCACCCTGACAAATTTTAACATTAGCAACTAAATCAAATATTCTAAAGCCACTGATTGCTTCATTATGACATGTTAAGAAGATTGTGGTCTTGTTTTTTGCTTAGAAAAGCCAGAACTTCCACATGCACTTGGCTCTCCTTTTGACAGCAAGCCACGGTTCATAATCATAACCGTAAGTCATGAGATCTGGCCCTGTGCATGACAGGACTGTAACAGACCCAGGGAGACTCTTAACCTCTCTTTTTCTCTCTTTCTCCAGCCTCTCCCACTGCTCTGGAGGCGATCAAGCACAATGCCCCGCACCCGATTGTGGGATAGGAACAATAGAGTTCAACTCTAGGTCAGGCACAGGGCTTGGAGCCTGGCCAGTCAGCCGTCAATGGGTGCAAACAAACAGCTCTTACTTCTTGCTCCTTTCCGAGAAAGATCATGAGTAAAATAAGCTGAAGGCAGGCGTGATGTTAAAGGCTGCTGAACGGAGGTTTTTAACTTCCATGGTTCTCCTCAGAAAAAGCTAGTAAATAAATTCCTGCTGAAGCATATGAGTTTAGTTTCACCATCTCTCAACCCAAAGAAATACGTGAAATGTGCATTTCTAATTAAGCTACAGCATATTTAAACAGTTGAGTTGCAGCCTTCATCTGTCAGCTCAGTGATACAGCGGTCCCTCGTTTATCGAGGGAGGTACGTTCAAAACATAGCCTGCAATAGGCAAAATCTGTGAAATAGACTACTTTATTTTATACAATTATTATTGATGTTTTCAGGCTGTAAAACTCCTCTCTACACACTTTACACACATTTATCAGACAGGCATTAACATTTTTACCCTTTACTCTCTTGTTTAAACACTTTCAAAGTTTTCAAAGAAAAAGAAGTACAGGTTTATAGAATCAAGAGACGCGGTGGCGCAGTAGGTAGTACTGTCGCCTCACAGCAAGAAGGCCGCTGGTTCGAGCCTTGGCTGGGTCAGTTGGCGTTTCTGTGTGGAGTTAGCATGTTCTCCCCGTGTTCACATGGGTTTCCTCCGTATGCTCCGGTTTCTCCAACAGTCCAAAGACATGCAGTACAGGTGAATTGGGTAAGCTAAATTGTCCGTTGTGTATGAGTGTGAATGAGTGTGTATGGATGTTTCCCAGAGATGGGTTGCAGCTTGAAGTGCATCCGCTGCGTAAAACAAATACTAAAAAAGTTGGCGGTTCATTCTGCTGTGGTGACCCCAGATTAATAAAGGGACTAAGCCGAAAAGAAAATGAATGAATGAATGAATAAATTATAGAATCAACCAAAGATCAAAACCTGTTGTTAAGCGCAAACATTCATCAATCAGGTTTTGAAGTTTACAGTTTTGTAAAGCTTTTTAGCTTTAGTGCGGATAATCTTGGCATCCAGCGTACTGTTCTTTTTCCTGCAGTCACTGATCCATCCTTAAAGGTTCAGGACCCCTGGAGAACTTTTTTTTTATATGAACAGATATGTGTGTGTTGAGCACCAGTTAAGACAATGTTAGCACCTGTCAGCTTTAATTGTGGGGAAAACTGGATAATTTTGAGCTTTTGTCAACTAATTTCAGCTTCCGGGTTTAAAATGATTTTTGGGGCTGGATCAAAATCGGCGACGTAGCGCAGTACTGCAAGTGCAATGATGACGCGTCGGTTTTTCATTATTATTCATAGCGGAGTTTTCTTATGCTATGAGAAGAGACGGCTGCTTAATTATTCATGAGAGCACAAGCTTTCCGAAGGCAAGACAGACCTGCCAGTTTCAAGCAAGCTGTGAGACATGGAGTCACGGGCCCACGGCATACAGTTGTAGGAACTCATCGGCATTTTTCAGTGGTCAACACAAGTTGAATCTGAAATCTTGGGCATCTCCAATGGTCTCATTCATTGAACTAGCTTGAGGGCTTATACCATCAGGATAACAGAGCGCCAATTGATTTTGGGCTCCTCTGACCAGTACTTCTCCGCAGATGTTCTGGTACCCTTCGGCTAACTAGCCAATGATTAATTAAATCAGTTAAATTAAAACACAATGGCCCTTACAGGATCTTCAGCGGAAACCATTTCACGAGACTTTTAATTGACTCCTGGTCATGTGCTCGCCTTGGGCACATCCTGCTAGAAGCACAATTTCGTAGAGACAAAGAGATCTCTAGAAACATTAATGCATATGAACAAAAGCTAATCTCTTAATGTTAGAACTAAGGCAGATGTATCTTTGAATAATATGCCATAATGTTCCTCATATGCTGTTTATTCCAATCAACTAGGTTAATCAATGTGTTGTTTTAACCCTTATAACAGAGTAAAATAATCTGTATGTGTCTGAAATGTATGATGTCTGGTATTGAACGAAAGCTAGTGACATTTGCAATACGTTGGTGTAAATGAAAAACTAGTAGTACAAACAGTATTCATCTTGTAACGTTTGATGTAAGATAGTTTCAATCTTGCAAGAGTTCTACCACGTGAAATCTACATGCAGTCTGTTAATTAATGACCTTTCCTACGTCAGTACGGGGCGTGGCCCCGCCCTTCATGGCAGCTGCTCATTGGCAGACAGTGCCATGGGGACGAACCAGACCAGGTCACTTAAAAACACCCTGCAACAAAGAAACTTTGCTTTTTGCATCAGCTAGCTTGCGCATGCTTTTGCTCTCTGCCCCCTTTCGCCTGCCCGGACACCGCGCCGCCACGCGATTGGGTTACTACGAACTTCCACGCAAACCTCTTAAGTTTCGGGACTCCCAAAGCTGCATGAACTTCCGCAAAACCGACTCTCAGCAGTCCGTCACCTAGGTAACCCAGGACAACAGCCATTCACGAGCGCGTGAATCCCAAAGACGTCATTGAAGCGAGAAACCACCCAATCAGGAGCACCGTGTTTCCCCAAGGCCAGCCGGCGAGGGAGATTCGACTTCAGCAAAAAGGGCGCAAGTAACACAAACTAATGTTGTCTCTTGCTGATCTTGTGCAGATTGATCTTAAGCAGTTAAAGATAAGCCATATCTCTGCTTTTGTGGTTTCTCAGGTGTTATTCTAAGATCTTGCAAGAAGTATTAGAATTAATTTGGGACGTTGTCAACTCATTTTGCATCCTCTGAACTTCCTCTGTGTGTATGTGTGAATGTGTGTGTTTGTTTGTTGTTTGCTTATTACGTAGTTAGTTTCATTTATCGTAGTGTAGCTCAATAAATCTTTGTACTCATTTTGTAAGAACTGTGTTCTTGTTTATGTGCTTCTAAGTCATTGCCTCGAGCTGTAGATCTTGTTACCTTGCTAAAAGATCATCCAATACTGTGTTATGTTATTATCGTTGGCCACGTAAATAATATTAACAAGATTGGTAAGATACGATGTCTTCTATTTGCGGGACAAATGGAAGATAAAGTGTGAATCTTTTAATCTGATTCAATCTGACTCAGTTGAGTCGAACCAATGATTCGAATCTTCAGGATCCGATTCATTGAAATGAGCTAATAAACCCCTGATCGATATTAAAACGTAGGTTGATCCCCTACATATTAATGGTGGAGAATTTTTAGGCACAGCACGATCTGACTTTTAAGCACAAAAACATTGTTTATCTTTTCTATTTTGTCCGGAAGAATAGATCAGAGACAGAGAAACGAAGTTGTTGTGTTACTGTATGATTTATTGTGGTACCCAGTGTGTTGAAACGCACGAATGCGCAACTCGAGTGCTTTTGAGAAAGCGAACTGCAGTAAATAGTTATTTGTCCACGAGACAAAAACGATACGTCGCTGTAAAGCGCACGGATTGAGAAACAATAAGCGTGTTCCTTATTCTTTCTCCTATAAGGCCTTCACAGTTGATTTAAAGGTGCGTGTCCCAGCTTTAAAGACTAACTGTGCATTTCTCCCTGGTCAAATTAAGCACAGAGTAGCTAACTGTCTTTTTGCCATTTAATTCACTAACAACAGAGTTAGTGAACTCAGCGCGCCGCGCTCGAGAGAGCGGCAGAGCGTATTCTCACGGGAGAACTTATCTTGATCAAGTAAAGTGTGCGTGATTGAATCCACGCGTGTCTTTGACTGTGAATAGTCTTGACACAGAGCGCTAGGATCCGCCGAGATCTTAATAGTGCTATATTATGTTGAGCAGTGTGAAATGCGCCGCTATTTCACGTGATGCATGTAAGTTTGTGTGCATAACCGCATATTGGTTCATTATGTGTACGTCGTCATAGTAACAGCCTCCCGAAAGTC